TATAAATAACTATTCCAAATGGAACATTTTCACAGTGGTAGTATTTTAATCTACAGAGCAACGTGGATCATAATGTTTTTGTTGGTATTTTGTATATGTATATAATACTGCGCCTTGAGAGATGCTTGACATATGTACATATAATATGTGATTTCGTTAAAACCTACCTGTATGCTTTTAGTAATAATAATTTACTAAGGATTTTTTTGTGAAACCAAATATTTGATCATTATCATCAGCTCTTGCCAACGATGACCTACGGTTCTAAGACGTGGTCACTTACTATGTACCTCATAAAAAAGCTCTAAGTCACTCAACGAGCTATGGAGCCAGCAAAGCTCGGCATTTCTCTACGTGATCGAATCAGAAATGAGGAGATCCGTAGAAGAACGAAAGTCACCGACATAGCTCGAAGGATTAGCAAGGTGAAGTGGCAGTTTGCAGGGTACATAGCTCGCAGAACTGATGGCCGTTGGGGTAGAAAGGTTCTCGAAAGCGTTCAGTGGGACGGCCCCCTACAAGATGGACGGATGACCTGGTAAAGGCGGCGGGTAACCGATGGTTGCACGTCGCGTCCGATCGGCTAGTGTGGAAATCTTTGGGGGAGGCCTTTGTTGAGTAGTCGACGTCTTCCGGCTGATATGACGATGACGATGATCAGCTCTTGTCGGTTTAGCCTCCTCCACTCCTCACGGTTCATATACTGTATAGCTGCTCACTTTGATCTTTTTCTGATCTTTGATTTTAAATTACTAGTAAAATTTTATTGTGTTGTTATTTTTACTAACTCTTAACTTTCAAAAATCGCTTACTACGCTGAAATTTGATACCAACACTTTGAAACAAACCGTTTTGAAGTAGATACGGATAATGTTCCTAAGCCTTCCGTAAGCTGAGAACGAAAAATCATTTCCGCGAAGACGATTCTTATGATTTTGACACAAAATAATTATTTCTAAACCTAAATTATTCTTCGTGTTGTTCCGTGTCCTATCGGAGGTTGGACATCATTTTACCCACTTGGGCCCGTAAAGTTGCAGCTCGGAAAAGTTCTGTAGTACTTCTTATTTAACAATAACTACAGAACAAGAAGTACTACAGAACTCTTCCAAGCAATATATAATAAATATAATGCTATTTGGACCCACAATTCAGCCACGCCGAACGCGTCATTAGTATAGGGTTTTTCTAGAAGAACTTTGTTTTGTAAATCAAAATAAAACAAAAAAATTATATGATAATTATTCAAATTTATATTGTATTAAAAAAGTAAGATTTGGCAATTATGAATGAATAACGACATCTGATAAATGTCCACCACTACTACCGTTATAGATGCCTACAAATAAAAAATACATCAAAGTGTTTAATCACTTTTTAACAAAATGGTGGCTCTATTTTGTTAATCACTTCACGAATTTCGAGTTTTAAGGCTGCAATATATTCGATTGGCTCGGTATAGACTCTGTCTTTAACATAAACCCATAAGAAATATCCAGCGGTGTTAAGTCACATGACCGAGCTGGCCACTTAACGGCTGAATTTCGAGAAATTATGCGATCGGGAAATTTGGTTTGCAATAAATTCATTGTTTCTGTCGCTGTGTGACTTACCACGTATACAACTTTGCGTGCAGGATATACATGGTCACAATGTGAGGTGGGTCATTGTTTGAACCGCACCGCACTAACAATTCTATTTTATTGAATTGATATTCAATTATCTTTGTGAAATTACTCCACTAGTTTGTTATAATTATTAATACAAAGATCGAATATTTAGAAAAAATTCCTTCGATCCGGCCGGATTCGAACCGACATCTTCTAGCAAACCGTGCCAGACCCTGTGCCAACTAAGCCACGGAACGAATCAGCGGACCTCATGAATTTCTCTAAGTGTTTGTTTGTCGGATCTTTGTATTTGGTTTTTCAACGACTTTTTAGCCGTAGCGCCATCTATGAGAAATCTATGAAAGTGGTTCGTCACCCAGTTAGCTACCTTTACAGCTACCAGCCCCGGATAGAGATGTCGCCTTTCATTGTATTTAAATTTTTGTTAAATTGATATTCAATTAATTTTGTAAAAAGATCGAACACTTAGAAAAAAATTCCTTCGATCCGGTTGGATTTGAACCGATGTCTTCTAGCAAACAGTGCCAGACGCTATACCAATTAAGCTAATTCTATAGTACTTGTACGAACGACTTGGTAAGATTTTAAACCCATGTGATTTATTTAAGGACACGTCCGTTGTATCTTTTCAACTTGGTTTAAGTAGGTTGGTGGGCTCTTTGGTGTTTTCTATTTTTAATTATGGAGCGGAAACATAGACACTAAAAAAGGCGGAACGTGACCGCATCGACGTCTTCGAGATGTGGTGCTGAAGGAAAATGTTGGAAGTCCGTTGGACTGATTTTTGCAGAAGCGACTCAATTCTGCGGGAGCTTAACATCCAGACCAGATTATCCACCTCATATCTCCGTATCAGATTTGATTTCCCTGGTCATATTGCCAGGAAAGAAAAGAGTTGAGAGAGATGGTTACCGGATGGACCGACGGTAAACGTCTGAGGGGTCGCTATGTCACAAGATGATCCGATAAAGTTTATACGGCTCTCGGCACGGGTCCCTAATGTTTTGGGCTTTATATTGGTCCCATAGTTACGACTAACCGGTTTCGTATGTGAAAGATATACAGAGTGCTTTTTTAAATGAAACAGTATGGGAAAATCCGAAACCATAGAAGATACAAGGAAACTGTCTTAGGAACCATTAGGTCTTCTTTTGTGAAAACAAATTGACCAACTTCTGCAGTTCCAATTTTTCTTCTGGTACAATGAAGTTATCCTTATGAAAAACTGAGTCCATTAGTATAAAAAAATTAATCAATTTTATTCATTGTGTACGAAATTATTTTTTATGAAAATTAATCAACTTCTAAAATTTGATCAATTTTAATCATTTTTATGGAGAACTCACGCTTAACCAAAAAATTTACAAAAAAAATTGACTATGCCAAAATTGTTTTCACATAAAAAGACTTTGGTCCCCAAGACAGTTTTCTTGTATCTTCTATAGTTTCGGAATTCCCTATACTGTCCCATTTATAAAAAAAAACACAAACAAACAAACAAATTATTCTGCCAAATCATTACTGTGACAACTGCTCTCCGATTGGCTAGACCGAATTCGAAACAATTGTCGGGTATCGTCAACTGTTTCACTTCTTATCGACCACTTATATAACTTGATCTTTGCTAAAATGCAACGAAATTTGCAAAATTACGTATTTAATTACCGATGAAATGTGATTCCGTTTGTTTTGTAATTAGATGTTTTGCTGTTTTTCCCACGTCACCGAATGGATCAGCCCCCAATTGTTAGAGATAATATCTTTATTACAATAAATACAGAATAGTTTTCGAATATACGGACACGTACACACAGGTCAGTTGTTGGCGCTTTACTATTTCAGTTTTCTAATTAGTGATTTCAGAGTAAACGAGAGTTGATATTTAAAAGTGATGTAGGGCCCATTTGCCTGATGAGTTGCCAGGGTTGAATGGCCCTTATTTCGTCTCTATTTCTGGTTATATACTCGATGTTGTGACCGCTAGATGCGCTGTATAATTTACCATACAAATTTGTAGTTTACCCAGTCGCTAGCGACAACTGTAAACTGACAGTAAACTCGTAGTAGAGGCACTAAAATAAAGTCAAAGTTGACATGTGTGTAACCCTATGAAATCCATTTTAACTAAAAAAAGCCTTCACACATCTTATTCAAATTTTCTACCATTTAGTCTCAAGCGTTTTTTGCCTAAAATAAAAAGTGAATTTTTCAGGATTTTGAACTTTATTAGCTTTTTCCTGATTTAGGCAAAATACGTTCAGAGTTTAACGAATAAATAATGATAATAATAACACACACCTCAACATAGCCCCGTACTAGAGAATCACTGTGTCGCGGGTGCCATGGACACACACATAGACAACCACAAATTATACCCAAACTCACGAGAGAAATAAATATAGGCCTTTTTTTATACATACCTTTACAACTACCAGACCTGGCTAGAGATGTCGCTATTAACCGTCATTATTTTTTTTTTATTGTTGACTGACTGACTATTACTGTTTTCTGAATTGGCTCTTCAGCAGTGCCGGCCAGATATGTTAGCTACTTATTAATAGCAGTAGAGCTTCTTGAGAAAGAGTTCGTCCAGGGAAGTACTGCGACCTTACCTATTTCTGCCGCCAAGCAGTAATGTGAGCATTAGTGCGTTCCGGTTTTCAAGTAAGGGTGCTGGTGAAATTACAGGCACATGGGACTTGTCAAGTTGTGTCTCAGTGTGACGGGCGCAATGGTAAAGCCCTCAGCTCCTTGTGATTTAAAGCTCTGAGTGGCACTGCAACTGTTATGGACAGGCGTGTCGCTTACCACCAGGCGCACGGCTTGTACTTGGTATCATAATAACATTTTCTAAAAAAACTCGACCTCAAAAGTTTGTAGAATTACATCTGTTTGCCAAGTTTTATTGAAATCGGTTCCCGGGAAGTGCGCGATACCGGAGTCATCCCCTAGTTTGCCATTCTTAGAGTGTAATATTTTCTTTAAATTTGAATGGGACCAATACAGAGGTACCCTCTTTCCAACAAAAAAAGAATCATCGAAATCGGTTCACAAATTGGAGTTATCGCGTAACATGCATACAAAAAACCGTCTAATTGAGACCCTCCCTCTGTTTTTAAAGTCGGTCAAAAAAGTTACAATATCACACATTGGGATCTAGTTTCCTTTGTCACAGACAACAACCGCTGTTTGAATGGAAAGAACAATAAAACAACTTAAATATTTTATGCACTTTATTGCTTCACGTATATTATTCTCCATAAAATCTCAAACAACCACGTTTATAACGACGAAACAAGCGGGCTCCTAAGCAGGGGCTCGCGTAGACTATACGAGGCACTGAGAGACAGGAATCACAGATCGACAGAGCTTAGAAGATAGACGGACATCAATATAGGAAGCTGGAAGGAGGCGGGCGCGGGGAGGGCGCGGGGCGCGTCAGACGCGGATGGAACGCGCCCAGAGCGGCTTCGTTGGTGGAAGAGGGCCTTTCCTCGCGCACGCGCAGCTGTGGGATGCGCCACGCGGCGCACGCGGCCGTCAGCGCGTGCCGGTTCAACACCCAATACGCGGCGGCATTCAGTGCCGAGTGCGCGTGCCCAAGCAACAATGCGTACTGCGCTAACAGTAACGGCACGTGAAGTCCACACGCGCCGGCTATCACTACAGCCGCGTAAGGGCACCAGCATATAGCAAATATACCAGCGATGCCAATGAGCACGTTGCCTAGACGACGTCGCGATCGCAATGTTGACATTTGGGGCTGCGGACCGAGGAGACTTGGTTGTAGCTTCTTCTTGATTCTAACGTCGCCGACGTCAACGGCATCGCGGCGTTCTCTGGGGCCGACGCCAGCCACAATAATCACGTGGGTGGGTCTGCGGATAAGAGGCACCGGCAGCGGGAGCTCGCCGTGCGCTGCGCGCGCGGTTAAAGAGAGCGCTGTCAGCTTGACGCGCACCGCCCAATGGCACCTGGCCACAGCCATCACTGGGAAGCAGTACGTAACAAGCGAGTGTGCGGCTGCAAGTGGTGGGCACGCTAGGCAGAAGGCTGTGGCCGCTGCGGCTCCTGCAATATTTGTAACATTGTATGATTACTTCCGTTTAATAATTTCCTTAGCACAGTTTTCATCATGATACTAACCCAACAACAAAGCTGTGGCCCAAACAGATGTCACAGCAAAATATGGCCGCCCGCAGACTGAAGTGCCTTGTCCTCTTCGGACTGCTCCAGACCTGTCCGCAGCCATTGCGACCAGGGACAATGTGCTCGCTGCTACTGGGAATGACTGAAAGAAACATTGATTTATAAACTCTTGTAATATATACCTTTTGTAGGCATTTTCGTTTTGTAAAATAAATTAGTACAGATTTATCTTGTGGCTAGATATTTAGTCGTTTCTACGAGTATCACAAATGTAATGAATAAAGGCATTATTGCGTTTTCACCTCAATATAGAGCGTAATAGTGCAGGGCAAATAGTTAGCGCTCGCTGCACGCGTGGCGGCGAGCGGGGCGCTTGCGGCGCAGACGAGAAGGTCGGCTGCGCACGCGCTCAGCAGCTGCGGTGTGCGTAACCGCGACGCTCCCGCCGACGCCAGCGCCGCCATCAGGCTCAGATTTCCTACACGAAAGCACATGTCGGTAATAAGTAGCTGTTTTTATATTATATCCTTTTGGGATTCCACGTTGATTAAATTATCAGTTTTACCTATGTCCAATATACTCGTTGCTCTATTTAACTATATCTGACACAAACAACTAGCAAAGGGTGAAACAGTTGTTAGAATCTTATTCTAAGAATGATGCCACACGGGCGTTGCATGTCGGCGTTGCGATGACGTTGCGTTGTGATGCTAATTGTATTCATCACACAATGCGTTGAAACGGCGAGCCACCGTCTGCAAATTAGTACGTTCAAATCAAAGCGCAACGCCCGTGTGGCATCACTCTAAGAGTTCGCGCAAAGAACTAAGAAGATATTTGGTTAAGTAATAAAACTTTCCACTTTTGAAAGCTATTTGTAAAGGGATGTCTGAACTCTAAAATGTTATGCCTTTGTATTATAGATACATGGATATATATAGTAGAGATGTAGTCAAATAAGTACGTGACCAATTAAAAACTTTTACGCACATCACCCTAACTAATCGCATATACGAAACAGAAAACACGGGAATATCCCATGCGTTGTAAGCTGCCGTTGGCGAATGGTGAGACATCCCATTGACCCTAATTCCATAATTTAAGGCAACCCATCGTTGAGGTTTTACGGGTCGATTGTTATCTACTATTTTATTGATTATTAATTAGAGGTGCCTCGCTTGTGGGCCGTGGCATCCAATTACGCCAATGGTCCCCCATTTCCCATTTCATATAAATGGGAAATTCTGTATGACAGAAATGAACTTCCTCAGAGCACGCCTTATTTATAAAAAACAAGTGCGCACCTCCATCTCACCTGATTGAAAGTGATGATGAGGTCGATGATATAGCAATGCCTATATATTATCCGGCTCGAAGGACCAATGTTCGCGTCGTGTACTTGCTACACAAACTATCTTGATTATAATGTTGATAAATAAAGAATCCTTGTTGATCTTAAAAATGGTATTTTTAAGATCAACAAGGATTCTTTACTTGATTTTTACTTTACTTTTGGTTTACTTGATTACAAAATAAAATACGCGCTTGCTTATGACAATGCCTTGATTGAAAATGTGTAGAAATTATAACTAAACATAAAAACATAAAAATGTTGACGCGCTAACATACTTAATGTGCGGTATTAACCGTACACACTCTCGCCCTGAAAATATCCGTGTCAAACCAATACACTGTAAAGTCACTTACAGTGTTTTGATTTAACAGCACTGATTATATTACAGATGTTATTTTGACATACGGTACGCAGCTATACAATCTTTTGGTTTGACAATTACGCGCGCGAATTGAAGTAGTGTTGCGGGGCGCCTGAGTAGGCCAACACTCTCAGTTCACGCAACTCAGGAGTGGGGGTCTACTAACATTTGTGCGGCTCAAATTTTAACAATAAAAAACGACATCCTATCGTGTCAAACCAAGACACTGCAAGGTTCAATACAGTGTTTTGTAATTTCATAACAACACGAATCTTTCGGCTGTTAACGACGGAAAAGAAATTTATTAGTTTTTCAATAGAAATAACTTACCTTCCAAAGTAAAATTATAACGACTAGAGAGATTTCTTTAATATCTAATTTACGACGTAAGTTAAATATATATCTTTATGTTATTAATTTCAATAATTTCAAGAATAACAAACCAGTACAGAGTATCCCCTAGTTCGCCGCGGGTAGGTGGAATATTTTTTTTCAAATTGAAATGGGACCACATCTGAGGTACCCTCTTTCCAACAAAAAATAATCATCAAAATCGGTTCACAAATGCTTACCTAAGTTACTTGAGTTATTGCGTAACATACATACAAAAAAACATACAGTCGAATGAGAATCACCTCCTTCTTTTGAAGTCGGTTAAAAACGAAAAATCCTTTACGCAGCTTTTTCTCAAAATGCTGTTTTTGTTTTGGTTTGACACAGTAGAAGCCGATCACTCACCAATGATCCCTACGAAACAGACGAGCACGTAGAGAACAAGGAGCGGCGCGAGCTGATCGTACGCTGGCGTCCATTCCGCCGCGCCCGCGTCGCTGCTGTTATACATCACGCTGCATTACTGCACACTGCAACAATCATGACGAATAGCAATTACTTTCAAGTTCGCTAAGGATGAGAACTGGATACGTTCCGTTAAACAGTTTTGTTTGTTTTAATCATTGACTTAGAAATAAATGGACGACGGGTCTAATACAAAAACCACGAAAAAATGTCCCAAGTCAACCTATTTAAACGTAGTGACATGTAAAGGAATATAAAAAAGCTAAAACGTTGAATTTAAATTGTAATGTCATCGCAGTACTGTCTAATTTTGCTTGCTTCGCTGTCAGTCGAACAAACGAAGACTAAAGCGTGAATGACGCTCTGTATACGATTTTAACGCCCTATAAGTTCGGACACTTTTTAGCGCGGACCCGACGTCCATATTGTAAGTCAATGGTTTTAATAAAAAAAAAAAAAATTCTCCAAATTGCGTGTTACTGAAATGTGTCCGGTACGAGCATCACACGCGAGACCACTTATGGACAGTTGTTCATACTGAAACTCAATCCGTCATTTTCGCTTTGTATGGTGTACGGTTGTGTCATTATTTCGTGCAAATTCTTTAAAATGCTACAAAAATGACAGCCGGACTAAAAATATTATCCATGGTGATATTTCATATCATCGGTAAGTCTTAATATTAAATTAAAAATATACATAATATATTTAAAAAAAAGTGAATCTTCTATTTTAATAAATTTTCAAGTTTCTTTTTATTGAATAATTTTGTTGTTACAAGAAACGAAAGTAAAGCTTATACCCCTGCAATACGGTCGCTCCTTTTTTTGGAGACCTAAATTAATAATAGAGTTATTCGTCGTTGTTCAACAATTAACCGGTAGATGGCAGTACAATGATTAGAAATTTCCTTACCTATTACTGCTGCCAAGCAGCAATGTGAGCATTACTGCGTTCCGGTTTCGAAGGGTAAGGATCCTGGTGAAATTACAAGCGAATGGGACTTTCAACTTATGTCTCAGGATGTCGGGCGTCTTGGCAGTGCCCCTCGAATTTAAAGCTCTTAAATAGCAAGCTAGCTAGTTAGTTTTTTATTTAAAGCTTGATATTATAAAAAAAGCTCTGAATGGTACTGTAACTGTTATGGCAGGCGCGCGTCTCGTCACTAAATATTAAAAAAAATACTTTAGGTTACGATGGAAGTGACTACATTGAATAAACCACTTTACACGCCTTAAAACTTGTTATATCTAAATATAAATAGCCTTAATATGGTATAGATTTAGATAATAGTTCTCTATAAATGGCTTTAGAAAAAAGTAATTGTTCTTACAGACTTATTTCACTCAAGTCATAATTTTAAAACCTTCTTAATACCAAACAGCTTAATTAAGTGTCTTATAATCCATATTTTAATTTCATCTGTAGAACATCTGATTATTTTTAGTAAAATTGTTCTATACACATCCAGAAAAGTCTATTAATACTCTATAAACTAGTGTTCTTAAGTTATAATTAGGGTTTTAACATATTGGACGTTGTAAGAGTTCATGCAAAATGGATAAAGTAAAGAATATTAAAAGATCTGGTGGAGATGGTGAACCTTGGATATTAAGTCACATCATTCGACACAATCAGCGTTGCCAATGCCAATTGTTCAAAATCCCCAAAAATCACGGTTAAAATCCCCAAATTTTGGGAGAACAAAGTTCATATTGTCCACAAATTCCCCACATCTCGAGTTTTCATTATTTATTAAATAAATAATAACAATTATAATTTAATATTCCACAATACGTAAACTTTTAATGTTTATTTAACGAAATTTACATTATTCACTTTTGTAGCACCGTATTGAGCTCGACGCTATTCAATTAAAATTATAATAATTACAATGTATAAATAAATAAATTTTAGAAATATTTTAAACGCGTTGCATCTTTAATTCAAATTACAATAGATGAACATGATTTTTTTCAAATATACAACATATATATAAAGCGTACAATTACTCGTCAAACTTTAGAAAAAAACTATCGGCCTATTTGTAAATTAGCAATAAAATGTCACACAGGTATGAGGGACAGAGAAGACGCTCTACAAAGCCCTAAACAGCCGATTGTCCTTTTCTAAAGATCGATGTGTAAAGCCGGATTTGTGAAATTAAACCCGAAAATCGATAACTATTTATTAAGTTTATATTTTATACATAAATATTTAAAATTTAGCGAGCGCATTACTTTTATGACATGTTTTACATCACTTTTCACAATGTATTTAAAGTCGCACGTCAATTCGCGCTTTCTAATCGATTAAACATTGCGCGAAAAAGTCCGAAATATTATATTTAATTTCGCCGTGTTGCAATTTTGATAGTTTATATTTTGTAAGCCATTAAACTTGAAATCTATTAGTATTAAAAGAATTGCGTCTTACGTTTGTACCGCTTTAGTTACTTAGGTTTTAAAATAGTATTACTAAGAAAACTATCATAGACCATAAATTATCTAAAAACTGTCTACAAAACTAAATAAAAACTGTTTCTTCTAAATTCTATAAATAGTCTTATAGCATTCTAGAAGGGTAAAAGATAAGAATCACTCTTAACACTACGGACAGATAGTTTCTCAAAGCACTCTTGTGATCTACTAATAAAGTTGTGCCCACTTTTACTTTAAAATATCTAGAAACCGTCGAGATATCTTGAGGGAATTTGAACTTTTTAGCAGATTTTTTATTTTTTTCTTTTTGAGAAAGCTTTAAAGATTCTATGAACGAAAAACTTATTGACTAATAAGTTTTTTATACGTAAATTAAGCGAGTTATAAAATTTGACATAAACGAAATTTGTTAACCGATTTTAAAAAAAGTAGGAGGTTCTCAATTCGGCTCAATTTTTTTTGTATGTAGGTACGTTATGCGATGACTCCGGCGGCATTTGTGAACCGATTTTGATGATTATTTTTCGTTGGAAGGGTACCTCAGTATTGATCCCATTTAAATGTGAAGAAAATATTCCACCTCTAGGGTGGCGAACTTGGGGATGAATCCAGTTTCGCGCATCTTTCGGTAACCGATTTCAATAACGCTTGGCAAATAAATGTAATTACACGAACTTAAGGTAGGTTTTTTAGTACCCTATACTGAGATTATATATGCTTAAAGTGGGTGTGTTATAAAATTTGAAATAGACTTAAGAAATTTGTTTCACGTGTCGAGTTCTTAGGTTACACATCATAGGAAATAAATTTAATTATAGGACGTGTAAAGGGTTCGAAACATTGGTTTTCGAAAAAAAAAAAATGTTTAATTACTTTTTTGTTTCATAACTACATGAAATTTTTTTTTCGGGATTAAATGTAGCACTTTTTCGACTATCATGTGATAAAAACACTTTTCACGAATTTAATATTCATTTATTGCATGTCATATACATAGCTAATTCTAAATATTACAGTGTTGGGCAGTTAACATGTTACGCCCTGTAAGGACATAGTAACTGCAGAAGACAAAGTTCTTACTTGTCGATTGCTTAATACATTACTTTATAACATTATTAATTTTTATAATGACAGCGCATTATTATATTGAATTATACTTGATACGAAATATATACATTATATGTTAATTGTTATTAATTATTTTGAAAGGTAAGGCATTTTATCGAATCGTCAAAAGACATACTTTGAGACAGTAATAAACAACATGTTTCAATTAGATGTTCTAAATCTAATTATGTATTAATTAAGTTTTCTGAAGGTAAAGTCATTTTATCAAGTCGTCAAAAAATTCTTTTAAATAAGCGTTGGAACACTTAGAAAAAAATCACTACGATCCGGCCGGATTCGAACCGATGTCTTCTAGCAAACCGTGCCAGACGCTATGTCAACACTACGCCACGGAACGTACCATAGGAACTCACGAATTTTTCTATGTGCTTGTTGTTGGATCTTTGTATTTCGTTTTCAACGACTTTTTAGCCTCAGCGCCGTCTATGAGAAACCTATGAAAGTATTTCGTCACCCAGATACCTTTACAGCTAACAAGCCCTATATAGAGATGTCGTGATTAACTTTTAATTGAATTCTTCTCAATAAAAAATTAATACAGTTATTAATTGTGTCAATCTTTCGAGGTTTTTAAATACTGTTTGGGATTTATTGTCACATTTGACTTTATTATACTTAGTATAAGAATTCCTTGTCCCTACTCCCGGCGGCAATCTATAATGTCAGAAATGGATAGTGTTAATCGCTGCAGTAGGTAGCTATTGGCAATCTTATAGGCAATTATACGTTGCAATCTTGTGCCAGCACAGCCGACTCCATTGCCGCCGCCGGGTAGAGAAAGTGCTCCAGTTCACCAATAACACTGCTAAAATTGAAAGTTTAACTGTTGACACAGTTTCTTTACCAATTCTACCATTTTAAACTTAGTCAACTTGAACACATCGATAATGTAGCCGTGTTTTTAACAACCAAACGTAACAGCTCCGGTAGCCGTGATCGTCTAGTGGTTAGGACCCTACGTTGTGGCCGTAGTAACCCAGGTTCGAATCCTGGTCACGGCAGTGCCTCACTGTCGCGGCGGAGCTACTTTTTTTTAATTCAAATAACAATTAAAATTACTTATACACGATTTAGGTTACAAGTACGTGCATAAAACAACATTTCTTCCATTTCGAAGCGTGAAAATGGTTATCCTAAATTTATCAAAATTTTGAAAATACACGCTCCGATACATTAGTCAAAGCAGTAGTAAAATTCTTAAAATAATTCTGTATTTTTTCAAAAGTCTGGTCGTTTATTTTTTTTTATTTTAGGTCCAAATTGAAAACAAAAAATTACTCGTAAGTTTTTTTTTTTCATTCAATTTGTTTTAATTTTTTACGAGATATTTTTTCGAGTGTTTCGATGTTGATTTTGCGTTCTTGTAAAAATCATAAACTTTATTTAAAAAAAGTTTATTTATGTTATTTTAAGTGTTCGATCTTTATATTAATAATTATAACGAACTGGTGGAATAATTTCACAAAAAAAGGATTCAATAAAAAAATCAATGTAAA